GTATAAGACAAAATAGAAGTGCTCACTCCTTGTAAAAGACAAAATAGAAGTGCTCACTCCATTCTTCTAGAACTCCGCTAATTACTCCGCCAACTATAGACATTGTAGCTAAACTTAGTCATGACTAGATAAACTTAGTTATAACTAACTAGTTTAGTCATAACTAGCTAGTCTTAGCTATGCCTTGGCTAATCATCCTTATTCCCTTGACCACTTCTAAGACTTAGTACATATGTGCAACACCCGGTCTTACAGTTCTAACTAACTAAAGATGTTTACACTGGTACAGTAGAATTGACACTCCTCACTAGTTGCACTCCTTGGATGCATCGTGGCTCCTCCACATGAACTCCATTAGCTACTAGGGACTCCGTTTAGACCAAACTTAGCAATGCTAGACGTTGATGAGTTTCAGCAGGGCAAAATTTTGAAGAAGCTCAAGTACTGGTCTTCATTACATCTTTCCTTAGGAGCTAAGGCAGTGATAGTCAACTCATTGCTACTATCTACATTGTGGTACTTTTTGAGTATATGAGTAGGCTTCAGAAAGATTTTACAAGCCATTCGTGCCGCACTTTGTAACTTTCTATGGAAGGGTACAGAAGAGTGCGCCAGATCTCGTGTATCATGGAACGATAGTTGCGCAAGCAAGGAAGTCTGGAGATTATGCATTGTCGATCTAGAGGAGGCCCTCATCGCTCTTATGGGGAAATGGATTGTGAAAGCAATGGAGTTAGGCAACTCCTCCCTACATGGGCTCCTTTGTAACCGCCTAATACAAGTCTAGTCATCTAATTATCGAGCCTGGCCATTGAACTTTCATTGGACGCTACTAGCCAAGTTTTCTGCATCTGCAGGCTCAAGAATGTAGAACCGCCTCTTGCATGCATGGAGGTCCTTGAGCCCGCAGGTGGATGCAATTCCCTCGCGGAATGTTGAAGAGGTTGAGGACACCAATCTCTGGTGGACGACACATTTTCTCGGAGTGGCGTTTGGATTCACATATGCGCGTGCGTGTCAACTAGCAGTAGCCAGCCTCCAGTTTCTGAAGGATTTGTGAGAACCAAACACCTCGATCCCCAAGTCTTGGGAATTGCTTCAACGAGAATTTGATTTGCACGATGATGAACGCAGAAAGATCGAGCTTTAATTGTATTCCTACAGCATGGCACCAACTGCTCACGATCAACCCACATCTGTCAAAGGAGGAGGAATGGGTGGGAATTTTCCCAGATGACAACCAGCTACTTCCAGACGCTATCTTCCAAGCTACCAGTGACTTTCAACCGTTCCTGTCACCATCAGGGACTGATCTTCTCATCCCAGCCTCAATCCAAGTATATCAGATGGGCATGCACTCGCAAGCCCTTATTGCTCAACTCGAGCACGGTCCCGAGCCCTGGCCACTACATGGGTAAGTGCGTAGAGTTTGAGTCATTGCGCTTCCTCCAAGACAGCGTACTAAGACTGTCCTCATCCTTAGGTTTCTTGCACCTATTGACCTTACCTTTCATACTAGAAGATGGAAATGGCGCCCGGGAGAAGGTTTCTTCAGCTACATCATCAAAAAGGGAAGAACCTGGCGGAACCCGAGGCTTTACTTGAGCCTGTCAATTGCCGTGAAATGGTTGGGCCATGTGCACCCAACGTTCGTCTCAAACTGGGGAAAGATCTGGAGACACGAACGCCCATGCAGGGAAGTAGGTTTTCTGTGAAGCCTGCTCCACAAAGCCATCGTTGTAAACAAATGGCGTCATCAGAGCCATAATGCAACATTGGCTCAATGCGTTTGTTGCTCTGCATGTGTTCGAAAATCACTCCAACACTGCTTTTATGAGTGTGAAGATGCCTCATCTGTGTGGGACTTTGCCTTTACCATGTTGTATCATGCCGCATGGATCTCTATAAGAGCACCGCCATGGACCAGATTGAAGTGAGCTCAATGCCTACTCAAGCAGCCCTTCCCAAAATATCTTGGGCATGTGGCTGATTTATGGGTTCTGATGAGAGGTGTAGTAAGTTGGTTTGTTTGGATCCGGAGAAATGCCAAAAGAAGAAAATAAAAATGAATTCAATTCATACTATTTTAGGAGTCTACTTAAGTCCTTGAGTGATTTAGATTAGCTCTCTTAGGATTCAAATTTACATTTATTCTAAACCCTTATATTTCTAGCACTTACATTATACGTGTGAGTTAATAAAAGCTCTGATAATAGTTTTAGTACTTTTGTTGTTAAAATTTTTTGTTTCCAAAGTCAGAGATCCCAAATATGAATTCGTTGTGCCTGTGCTTAAAAGATTGAAAGTAATTTTTTAAAAGTTTATTTTGTACATACAAATTTTCAAATTTTTATTTTATAAATTTATTGCAAAATAATTAAAATAAATTCTATCTTATAATTGTTATTATCTTTGTTTCGTATTCACGACAACAACAATTCAAAAGTTATGTAAAATTTTCATGCGTATAATAAATCTAAATTAAATTTTTAAATTTTTAAATGAAAACATTTTCATATTTACAAGATTTATTGTAAACTTGATTAATTATAGAAAGTATCTACATTATTTTATTTTATTACGTGATAATTATTCCAAAAGTTCTGTTATTTTTTCAAAAATACTACTATAAAGACTCCATTTTTGTAAATAATGAAGAATCAATCACATTGTTTCGTGATGATTAAATTTCAGACTTCAACACAACTTTGAAAATTGATGGTAATAGAATTTGTAGATACAAGTTAAAATGCTCAATTTCTTTACTTGTTTTTATTTTATCCTTGTTCAAGATGTTTAATTATTTTTACCATTTTTTTGGGATTCCAAAGCACAAAATTGTGGAATGTTTGCATTGGATTTTTTTACAAATATATTATATTACATTTCAAATATACTGTGGAAAAACTTCAAGGTTCGTGCTAAGAATACTACATTGTATATGTCGTATACTTGCACAGAATCTTTTGGTTGGTAACAAACATGTTGATGATCGGCGGCGATGGCGAAGCATTCGAGGAAATTAGCGCTAAATAATATTGTAAATGATAAATTCTCCTCAGATTTTTTCTTAAACTTAAAATTTAGATTTTAAAATAAATAAGAGTTTATATGATAAAATCTGAGCAGAACTTTTTTTAAATTTTAACACATTCATTATTAACGAAGACTATAAAAATAAGATAATATCGTAAATAATAATTTTCAAGCAATTTTAACTCAATTGAACAAATAAATTAACCATAATTTATAAAGATAACATAATATTGTAAAAAAAACTTTGCGCCAAATTTTTATTTACTTAAGTAAATAAGTCTTCTTTACTATGTTGCTTAATGGAACCATCCATTGATATCATTTTATAAAAAAATATGAAACATAATTTAAAGATGAAGAAAATGTTATGTTGAATCAAATATGTGTATATAAAATTAAACAACAAAACATGTGACTTAATATAAATACATAAATTTTTTCAGACGAAGATGCTTCGTATATATTTGTGGTTTATATTATTCACAAAAGTGCTGAAACTCAATTATAAAAATCACCTCTAAAAATTTAGGTTCTTAGAAATTAATACTTAAAAATAAAGTACGTAGACGTAAGTACAGAGGTACAACTCACCATTCACCATCTTCGCTCCAAACAGCTTCAACTCTGGTACCGATTGGAAATCTTTCCAGGTACGTCGTGTGTTTCATAACCATCCTGTCCTAGAGGTGCGGCAAAGGCTAGTAAATAGATTGAATAGATGGTCAACTATCAAACGTAACCTCACCTTGCAAAGCAACTCCGACAAAGGTCCTGTCTCGCATGCAGCTGTGTCGTGCTGGCCTGCTTGAACAACATTGGTGACTCCTTAGGTACACTGACTAGGTACACCAAGTTGGAGGTATGGTTAGTCAAGGATGCGAAGTGCTTGTTGGACGACGACTGCGGGGAATAAAAGTAGAGACGAATATTCTGCCGGGCTTGGGCCAGTCCGGAAGGCCCGCCCGAGCCCCGGGTAATGTAGTTAGATAGATATAGATAAGGCTAAAGGCTGGGAAGACGCTTCGCCTAAATCGGCATTCGTAAATAGCGGTGCTCATTCAGAACCCACGAGCAGATAGTTCCACGGGGCCAATATCGTTCGGAAGGTGTGTGGGCGGCAGGGAGCACGGAGCGGCTGGTTTAGGGGGACCGCCAGACAGCTAATAAATTGACGAACTGGGAATTTGAAATGTTGCTTGAAAGTTATGTAAATTCTAGTGCCTAAATTTTCTCAAGTGTTCAACAATCTCAGTTATATATAATTGAATACAGTTTTGGATCATGATTCCTAATTTTTTCTCCACGCTCAGAGGTGAAGATACTGCATCTCAAAATTAAAGTGGAAGGTTTTTGTTGTTCGTAAAATGTGAAAGTCGCCCTATTTACTGGTACAGAAGCAAATAACAGCACGCCGAAGATATTGACATCTACCCTCAAATTACCACCTTTAGCTCATTCCGGTGTAAACTCAGGGAAACTTCAGGTGACACCATCTTCCGGACGCATGATTAAAGTGAGCCGTGCTCTTTAATTGTATTTTTAAAAATAACAATGATATAATAAAAAAAAAATTTAAACATGTACGATAAATGAATATTTATCATATCTGTCTTAATATAAGCTCCGTGTAACCAGAAGATGCGTTATTAGTCTTGTATTATTCCTATAATATTTTCCTTGTATTATTGTATAGTTAGTCACGTCGCGCACAGCTTGCAGAATTTTCAGTTTGTTTCTTTGCCACAGCCGCCGACTTGAGCCGCGTAGCGCAAGATGCGTCAGTGTCTTTAGTCCCAGATTTGTTCTCTTCACAATTATGGGTGATATTCTAAAATCCGAAACATCGTAAATGACTCGTCGGTGCCGCGAATAAATGTGGAGACGCTCGGAAACAAAATTGGGACCGCTATGGTGCCCAATTTTGGGACAATAGACCTCATATTGATTTCACATATATATTTGACAATTATCACACTATTCCACAGACTGTGGACTCGCAGGCGAGTTATGGTTTATAACACGATGCGGCACAGTAGCGGAGCGAGCTCGCGTTGCGCATCATGCAAATATCTACGAAAGAGGTGCACGGACGAGTGCGTACTCGCACCTTACTTTCCTGCAGATCAGCCTTTGAAGTTCGCTATTGTTCATGCACATTTCGATATAGTCAATGTCATTGAGTTACTGCACGGGATTCCAGAATCGTTCCGATTGTCTGTGGTGAAAGATTTGGTTCTCCAGGCCATCATCAAGGTCGCGAATTCCCGGACGAGGATGATGTTACGTCAGGTTGAAGGAAGGCCCCCCTATGCTTCGAGGTCGGATATAAGATATGTCGAACAGGTTTCGGAAATACTCCGAGGACAAGAAGCGTATGAGACTGACTTATGGTTCATGCCACTAAGATATCGCAGGGCTCGCCAGAATTGAGCTTAGCGGATCTGGTGATCTGGTTGGCCTTCGAGGTCGAGATGGCTTTCGAGGCCAAGGCGAGGATGAAGTGTCCGGCTGACGGATGCTCGGGCGATGTTTCGTCGACGAATAGAAGATTTATGAAGTTTCAGGAAAAGGTTTCGGATTAACTACTTCGAGAATAAGAAGAAGCGCATGAGACTGACACAGGGGCCAAGTGGTACCCCCACTCCCTCATCAATCGTTACTAATCTTCGTTACTAATCTAGTTGCCAGTTGATGGTTATAGCATGCCAAGGGTTTCGTTTACTCGCATTTTTTTGTCGAATTAGTCAAAACGTAATAGCACGTCACAGACTACAGTGGATCTCAGGAGTATAGTAGCCCTGTTATGAAAGTCATCTTTGCATCGCAGTCGACGGTATGGCCTCCCGCTGCCTTCCTGGCAAGCGCAACCCTGAGTTCACTCATGAGCAGGCCTTTGCTATTTTGGCAATTGCCAAATTTGATAAATCTGGACGTGCAAAATTTGTCATAAAAGTTTGTACTAACTAACGGCACATGTACAGTTGATTCGTCACATCTTCCCAAATAGTAATATTTATTTATTTATATTTATTTATTTATTTATTGTAACTCATAAGTAACTATTGTACATGGATGAATGAGGCACCGACGAAGATTCATCGGTGCCAAATTCGCAATTAATTTCCTTGTCTGTGAGCAAAGTTTACTGCCATTGCCGACGCGCCCTGAAAAGCATTGCTAATTCAGCGCAGCTCATCATTGGGACGCTATGAGATTGAACAGAGCAGGCCGATCGACGCTCATCATTGGGACGAACGCGTGATGCCGCACTTCCAGCGAATAGCTGTAGAATAGGCCGTAGTCATCAAGATCTTGATGTATGTGATCGCCGTAGCTTCGTGCTCAGCTGATGATATTGATAGGCGAGGGTTCAAAAACTGTGCAATATGAGCAGACCGCTTGTTGAAGTGCTGTTGATATGGCATCATTGTCGCAAGAGAAATTGATATGGCATTACTGATCACTAGATCATCACTTGATATAAATTTGTTGCAATGATAGACAGCTTCGTCGATAGCAATTTGTGCTATACTTATCGTGCAGTATTTCGAGCCGCTCTTGACAATACTTATTTTGGATGGAATTTTTAGCCATTAGAGTAACGACGCCGCTTGCAGCCAGGGCAGATCAGACATCTGTCATTAGACAAATCGGTAACGTCAACAAAATCCTTAGCAATATCGTCGAATCCAACTTTCATTGTTATTGCTTGACGACATTTCAGCAATGCTACGAGCATGTTGTTTTTGGATCCTCACCTTGTCACAACGTCTAACCATGGTGGCTCCATATTGCGCTGGTACTCAGCAATTGCAAAACGCTGCAAGTCAAGTCTTGCAAAACGCTGCTAGTCAAGTTTTGCCACTGTGAAGCATGACGGTCGCTTTGCGTAGCATTGCAATAGATGGTTGGATGACTTTAATAGCAACATTTATCCCAAGCTGGAATGAATGTGTGAAGCATCGCAAACGGTGATCATATGACAGCGTTTCGATGACAAATGCATTCTAGAGTTAATTGATTCAGAGCCGTTGTCAAACACAATCACGAGAAGCCGTTTGTCCAAGCCGAACGCACAGAGCAAATTGAAGATGAACTCGGCACAACGCAAGCCGCATCTGGCACCAAGCAATATGTAGAAAAAATCAAACAACGTGTCGAAAAAAACATCAGTTGCAGAGTGGACCCAATGCACCGTCACCGAATAAAATTCCTTCGTCAACGCGTTTGACCAACCGTCGTAGGTGATGGATACTTTAGATGCAAGCGATTTGAATAGTGCGATCATCAAGTATTTCAGCAGGACATACATTTTCAAAATGCAACTTTTCTTCATGCGAGCTGATTTGATGACGTAGCCGAGCACCGCAATGTTCATGAACGATTTGAAGGATTTTGATTCGGTATGCGTGTGCTGCAACGTCGCTACGATGACATATTCAGCCACAGAACTGTCGATGCGGGCCGATCACGATTTGCTGATGGAAGCGTACAGCGTCAAAACTGTATGCGTGCTAGACTGGTCTGCACAGGGTGCGTCCGCGGATCTCGCAGAGAGTCCATGATTTTGTTCAAGATGCTTACCGATGATGCCAATTGCCGTCTTCAATGAGCAGTGCAAGGTGCAGCGTCCAACGTTGCATTTCTGGCGGCCTTCTCATATACTTTCCGCAGGGGTACCATCAAGCAAATAAATCTGGCGTAGGAAGAGTTCTTTGGTAGAACAAGGTCATTCTTGGACAAGTAGATACAATACAATATTTTACATTTCACAAGTTCATTGGATACTCATTTCGCCGGGTCTAGATCTTAGAACTCAGAAACTCCCGCTATATATTTTTCTTCTCTGCCTTTAAAGATCATCAGTCTCCGATCCATCTACGTAGTCTTGCCATTGGTTTGTCAGAAAAGAAAAAACACCAATTTCTTCTTTTTTCTTCCTCCTACGGTATCATTAGTGCTTCACCATTTCCGTTATATCCCTGTTACATCTGGTAAACAGCCAAGTATTAAAAGCAACAAAAGTTAGGCATTTTTGTAGAGGCTAGTGGTCGTTATGTCTGCAGTAGATCAAATTTCTTATATCTTAGAATCACTGAAGTGTATTATAAATTTGAACATTCATGAATACACATAATGAATGTCACTGGCAATTTCATAAACTACATCTATAAAAGAGAGTTCTTTCTTGTGTCAACTTATATAATTGAGGAGAAATATGAAGTTGATTATGTATCTTTTGTAATGACACAAATAATGTTTTTTTTGATGGAAAATTTTAACCTGAGCTCTCTTCTAGTGGCTTTCGTTTGAGGTAGGAAGAATGGATGGTTGTTTTGGAATACACTGATACGTTCAAGTTTAATATACCCACACAAGTATTTTGAAATGGAAATACTCTTAAGATAGGATATCAAAAAAAAAAATCTGATTCTCAATGACAGATCAATTAATTTATGTCTCTTAGATTAGTGTTTACCCTTTTCACATGGTAATTTATGAACAGAGCAGATATTGTAGTATTCTCAATATCAGCTCACTCCAACATTCGATGATCTGGCCACTAATATTAATGTCATTTCAGTTGCATCCAGAATATTCGTCAGATGAATATAGGAGTAAAATTTAAATGCTATTTTTAGATAATTATACATTAACTGAGACAGTAGTGAAAAGAAGTTTCACCAAAAAAGTAGTAAGTTGTTTGACTGCTCAACAAAAATACATTCTGCTTAGTTTTAAAACTCAAGTCAAAATACTGCTCACTAATCTACTTACTCTCTCTCTCTCCGATTGAATTTAAAAAAGCCTACCGTCTAATATCATCAATTAATGACAACTGTTTCGCATGCGACACCATTGAGATGGCCTTCTATCATGGGGTAAGACTAGTAGGGAATTTTCAAGTCTCTTGAGATGGCCTTCTATCGTGGGGTATGACTGGCAGGGAATGCCGAAGGTTCTCTACCAGAACAAACACAGAATATTTTGTTCAGTAAACGCATCACACGCATCACAAGAACGCAGACTTCAATCAAACAAGGCGACCACACATGACTCCCCATCTCACATGAGGAAGAAATGAACCCTACATCCAACGGCCGAGTACTGTCAAGCCTGTATTAACAAAGAAGTGATCAGAACAAATACACGATTGCCCTGTCATCATTTATGTGATTGCTTCCTTTGGAAAAGAATTGTAACTGAAATTCCGAGTCTTCACGTACATCTAAACCCTTAGAACTTCTTCTACTTTTCCGATGAGCTCAGACTTTCCAGCTCATGTACTTCAAAGGTTATCACCTTTACATAGGTCCAAAAAATCTCCACCCTGAGTGGCACCCGAGCCCTACTGTAACCTTCAAGATTTAATTAAGTATCTCAACTGGGTGTCATGAAACACAGCATCTTAGAATGCAGACTGTGAAGTCCTGAAAATTGCAGGTTTCTCTAGACAGGTGACATCGACTGAAATAGAAAACTCTTCATAGAAGTCTCAAATATACCTCATTGCCAGAACTGTTACATCACTGCTTGCTCGCACACATGACCCAACTCGCGACAGATTGCAAGTTCAAATGGGTGATGTGCAATTTAGAATTACCAGCCACTTCCAGAGGAAGCCAGCAATCAAAAGATCAAAATCATGCAGGACAAGAACCTGACATGAACACAACAATGCATAAGCAATACAGTTACTAGATTGATAACTACTGCTCCATTGCTCAAAGGAGACAACATGCTCAGAGAAATAAAGCCTAGGCGGCTTGATCGTCTTGGGGATTGCTTCGGCCTGCATCTGGATTGGAAGGCCGTCTCCACTTATCAGAACTCGGGGCGTCGTCTCTACTGCCGCGGTCAGCGCCAAACACACTCGGCCGTTCGCTTCTGTCACCTCTGTCGGCACCAAATCCACTACTTCGCACCGGCGGGCGGTCACCTCCTCTGCTCCAGCGGTCTTCTCTATCACCACCGGTCCTGTCGCTTCCAAAACCTCTGGTGCGTTCAGGCTCTCGGTCACGATCTGCAAAGCGATCACCATATCTACCTCCAGCAGCTCCTGGTCGAGCCGGTGGCGGCTCAAGCCCCGCTGACCGAGACGAGTCAAAATCACCGCGACGGGCGGGTGGTAGTTCATACCGTTGGGCGGTGCGAGCCGGCGGCTGATATTTCCCAGTAGAAGGTGGTGCAGAACCCTCTGGTTGCTCTCGCTCACGCTCCGCGGGTCGCTGCCATTTGTCGCTGCCACTGTCTTCTCGGGGTCCGAGTCCACGGTTGGCACCAAACAGTTGAGGCCTTCTTTCCTCTGCAGCTGGTGGCACAGGGGCCACATCCCTTGTTGGCTTGTTGGTCCAAGACTCGGGTTCGCGCTCCGCTCGGTCGGGCTCCTCCAATCTCTTGCGGAGAGAGGATGGAATGAAGCGGCCTGGCTTCTCATCCAGGGAAGGCCTGCTCGACAACAAAGCGTCTCTCTCGCGTTTCGCCCGCTCCTCTGCTTCGGCCTCACGTTGCCTCTGCTTGGCAGCGATTTCATCGTACTTGGCCCGACGCTCGGCATCTTCCTTGCGTCTTCTCTCCTCCTCTGCAATGTAAGTGGAGCGAACGTAAGAACATGATCGACGGCAAGGCAAGATTTGCACAAGAAACCTTCTATACTCAGGACAAATGGGCTTGCTTCGAATTACCTTCACGTTTGCGGGCCTCTTCTTCTTCCCTAATCCTAAGAAGACGAGCCTCCTCCTGTTGTCGGTAGTACTCCATCTTCCGGCGTCGTTCACAGTCCAAGTGACGAGACAGCCTCAACTCAGCAAGTCTCTCCTCTCTCTCCCTCATTAGCTTCTCGAACTCACCTTGACGGCGACTCACAACTTGGGCTTGGAAAATATTCTGAAAACAGCAGAAGTGTCAGTACAGATAATGGTATCGTCAAAGACATGCCCAATCGCGTTACACAATTACCAATATCAGTATGCTTGACGGATGAGCAATTTACCTTGTCGTCGATCATCTTCATGAGCCTTTTCTTCTCAATCAAGTCTTCTGCATGCTGAATACGGCTTTGCTCAATAGTTTGCTGCACGAAGTGAACGATTTGTCATTAGTGGTCGTTGCTTTCCATAGCAAAAATCCTAACGAGGAGCCTGGACTCGATCTCACGTAAAATTCTGAATTCAAAGTGTTATAGCTTTTACAGAAACGAGCTCAGACTGTACAGGCACTCGTTGATACCAATGGAAACTACAAGAAGTCCAGATTAAACGACTCTTGCTACTGGGTGAAGCTTAGGTGCAACAAGCAACACTAACAGAGTACAAAAACTACGTAACGGTACACACCTCCTGCTGTTGAGCATAGAAAACCTCGTCATCCGCAAGTCGCTTTTGGTAAGCGGCTTCGATCAGAGGCCTCTCCTCCTCACGTTTGGCTCTTTCCAGATGATCCATAGTTTTCGACAATTTTTGAAGCTTGCGCTCCATCTCCTGCCTTTCTTTAATCTGCTCTGACAAAGCCTCCTCCATCAGACTCTGCTTTGTCAACTTTGTGCCATCCTGCATATCGACAAGATCGAGCAAAAAATATCGGTCAGCTGGAGAATCGGAACGCTAAGCAGGATAAAACGCTGCATAAAATACAGTAAATGCACTCACCCCATCAGCCGTCGCCTTCTTGCTTTTCTTTCCTCCCTTTCTCTTTTCTGCTTCTGCTAACAGCAAACGTGCTTCCTCGAGGTCCTTCTCTTCAATTTCCTTTCGAATCCTCGCTTCTTCACGCCTTTTCGATTCGTTTGCCAGCCGCTTGGCTTCAGCCTCCTCGGTAAGACGTTGCTGCTTCAACCGCTTGGATTCTTCTTCCCTCTCCTAAAACACACTCACAAGCATTGGCTCGAGAGATAAGTTTCACGATAAAAACAAGCAAAATACGAGTTAGTGAGATGTCGACGAAATTATTCAAACCAAGAGTAGTAACATCAGCGCTTACCATCTCAAGCATTTGGCGCTCCTGCTCTTCTTTGCGCCTCTCTATCAGAACTTTACGAGCCAACAGTTTCTTGTGTTCCTTCTCAACCTTCTCTTGAAGGTCGCCAACAGGGATTGTTTGCTTGGCACCGCGCTCCACCGGGAGAGGTGGCTGGATAAGAGTCAAGGCTTTGTTCAACCTCTTGGCAAGGATTGTCAGATGGTTCTTGATCTTATCGGACTCCAAATCCTGCCATCAAATGTCGAAGGAGCCCACAGCACAAGAACTTGTAAGTGACAAACAACCAAACATTGTTCAAACAGGATTAACAGGGCGTACAAACAGGACATTCATAAGCCGACTGGCTACAACGGATGCAAAGACAGGAAGTGAGTTGATAGTTAGTTACCTGACTACCGAAATGAACGATACCATTCAAATGATCGATCTTCACTTGCACGTAGTTGTATTTCACGGCATCCACGGCAAGTTTCTCCACCAGAGAAAAGTCAAAGAAAGGAATCATTTTGCTCAAATTCGTAATCTTCATTGTCTGGTAGACTTGAGATACCTGTCAAAAGCAGCTAGACTGTTTAAAATTCATGGGCCACTTGCCGAAGGAAGCTGCTGCCAGATGTCATCTGAGAGAGAGCTAGTTCGTGCGACCATATACCTGCTGCAGAACTCTCAAGGTCGTAAGCTTCTCCAAAGCAGGGGCGTACTGCTCGAGCTGAACCTCAGGAACAGGAGAGGCAGCGGACAGCTTATCGCTGAGCTTACACAGCTTGTTCAACAAGGGCTCAGTTTTCGCAGCCAAGTCCAATGGGTGAAACTCGTTTTCCAACAAGTTGTAGACGTCCTTCACCTCTTGAGACACATAAGTCATCACACCCTTTGAGACCTGCAAAACGGAAAGGCGGTTTGTGTTCATGGTTCAAAATTTCCCTCTTGTGTACATGCTTGCAAGAAGCTATCAAAAGATCAATTTCCACGTTCGTTGAACTCCTCGAAGCGCGAATGAAATTGAACAAGTTCCTCAACTCACCAGTTCTGCGAGAAGGGCTGCGCGGGAAAGCTGCCACCACAACCGACAGCACAGTCAGCAACCAAAATTAAATCTGTACTTCTGCGGCCTGACGCTCCTTGTAGAATAAGAAAACGAAGATGCATCGAAAGGCATACACTTTCTACCAATATGGACTCAAATCAAAATCTACCCAATTGGATCCCTCTCCAAAGGTGCAATTGAGCTCGTGACGAGTGTCCACAGCACCGGCACATACGTTCCATCCTTACGCTCGGAATTCATATTTACACCTTGAAATCATAGGAGGATAATCAACAGAGTCCATCCGCCCAAAGGAAGACTACCAGATGTTGAAATCCATAGCACTACTTACAGAAGGTTTCCTCGGAACGCATGCTACTGACTTAAAAATCAGACTAACAACAAATTACTGCAGTGTCAACGCCTTGCGGAACTTAATGACGAAAATACAATTTGTGAGAAATCTTGTACTGTAGTGGACAACGCACAACGAATACCAGGAACAAGGCATTTGCCAGCAAACACATCGTCCCATACGACAGACTTAGATATAGCGAGAACAAGTTAATGATGTAAGATATTACAGCGTTCAAAAAGTAAAGTTAAACGGCGTGGAAGAAGTACATTTCATTATTAACGTTCAACTATGACAACCAACATGATTCCCGGCAACATCGTCAGTCCACATTCTTCACACAGACCAACTTACGGCCAGAAAATGTGAAATACGAGCAACTTCTCGACTTTAGTTTCATCCTCGCCGTTACCAAGCGGTCCACAGAGACATGCAGTTGGGTAGCCCCATATGACAGATGAGAGTACCGAGAGAAAGAAGATAACATAACAGGTACATGACAACATCCTATTCGACGGATCCGATCGGGACACAATTGAGAAGTCACAGACAGTGATACTCACCACTTCACGAGTGTCTCTCTTTGGGTCCAGGGTGAAACCTAATAAGTTCGCCATTCGAACGTTTCGGTCCTTTTCCATCTCGAGCTCGAAGTGATGCGCACCATGCTTCCTGTCGTAGGGAGTAACAGCGAGGGTGGCGAGCAGGACGGACGACGCCATGAGCTGAAGGTCTTTCTGGGTAAGGTTCTTATTGTAACTCTTTTGCAAGTTGTATAATTTGTACCACGCGTATGCATGGTACAAATGGCTATCAGATACCCAGAAAATTTTTGTAAGTTTGGCATAGTAGATAGCCATCATTTGAGGTTTGGGTGACTTTTTTACCATGGACATCAGCCCATGGATGTCTTCGATTGACCGAAAAGCTTCCTGTTACCACCCACAATATTCCATCAGTTTCAGACTTCCACAAAACGACGATGAACCACAGAAAAGGAGGACATCCAGATGGTAAAAGATCCGGCTTCTCACCTGCCATAACTCAAGCTCCGTTGCGACCTTCAGTTGCTCAAATCTGGTTTCCAAGTACAGCTGTAAACTTTCGGGCTGAGTGAGGTCAGGTCTATCCCTCTGGTCTCTATACTTGTTCAAATTTGTAAGGTGGTTTCGCAAAATTTCACAGAGCCGTCTGAACTCTGTGGTTCGTTTGTACTGGAGACAAAACTGGAAAGCCCTATGGGCGGTCATAGCATAGAGAGATTCTAACTTCGAGTTGTTCCTCAAAATTTCGAGCACAGTCCTGTAAGTTTCCCACAAGAACTTGAACCACGGAGTGACGAGCTCCCGATCTGACCGTTCTTTCCCTTTCTCCCCACTGACATAACTGAGCATCAAATCCTCCGGCCTTTTCTCGGCTTCGAGATCTTCTATATCTAGGGTGACCTCGGCAGCTTGGGCCTGGGCCTGCTCTGCTTTCTCGCTGGAAAGCTTCAAAAAGTACTTGATCACCTCCTCCAGAGAGCTCACATTCACTTGCTGGCAGACGATACGGTATTGTATAAGCCCATCCTTGGCGAACCTGCCCTTTTTCATGTCCACGCAGAGTTCTACATATTTGAACATGATCCTTTCTAATGTTTTCTGCCATGCTCGATATCTCTTGCTGGTAATCAGATCGTGCAACGCCTGGAGTGCTGCTTGCTTCTGACCGACATTCATCAACTCTATTGCCCACACAAGTGCCCATAGTCCAGTCAATCACGGGCCCCAAAAGTTCCATCCCAGCCACACCTTGTCAATTTCAAGAACTTAAAACCCTAGTGAAACGAAACGCAGACTCAACAACGCCATGCACTCGAGCAAACCAACAAAACCCTATCGAATCGCAGTTGAAATGACCGAGAACAAATCGGCATCGAAGCAAATTTCCGTGTCTATTTCCTGAACGATTGCAGAGGACTGTCGCACTCACCTTCCGCTCTCTTGAGCGCATTTTCGGGCTTCGCGAAGGTCGCCATGGTGGATCGCTGCTTGCTCCTGCTCGGAGCTCCGCTCTCGAAAGGGCGACCGAATCCGAAGCTCCAAGCTTTAGACAGACAAGAGCAGACTGCTGCTAGCAAGCGCTGAGTTGCCCTAGCTTCCGCGCGACGCACGCTTCCCAGGCACGCCTGGCCTGCCACATTTAAGCCGTCCGATCTGAATCCTTGGACTTAATGAACTGCTCGGGAACCCCGAGCGCAACTCCGCGGCCCACCACTCCGTCACCTTAGGGCCGACTGCCATCACTTATCTGGCGCTAATTCGACTTCTCTCTTCTAATCTCCATCTTGAGCGGTTTATCTCCCTCGAGCCGGCCTCGTGTCTGAGCACGCGGTGCCCAATGCGCTACCGCATCCGGCACTGAACACCTCGCGCTAAACCGAGCGGTTACGTGGCGCGGAATTGGCGGGACCACAACAGCGTTCTCGGCCTGGAGATCGGCTGCGATGAACTTACGGCTTCGCTTCTAACCCTTTCGTCGACTCTAAGTAAACATCGTTCTAATTTTCTTCTTCTTCTTTTTCTTCTTGGCGGGGGCTTCCAAGTTCTCGCGGCTTTAATCAATCGCTCGCTCCGCTGATTAAGTACGACATCAATGTTCGTCTCGAATCTTGAGTAAACTGATGACATGTTCCAAATTTCAAGCATTTCTTTGGACTTCTTGCAGTTTCGTAGATTCGTAATTCTCTTGTAGCGATGACTTCATCTTTCTTTTTGATGATTTATTCTTACAATAAATCATAAAAAAGGTAACAAGATAAAATTGCTTGTTGAAATCACTGCGGTTATCAATACATTTCCTTAACGGAACACGATACAATTCGCCCCATGTTATCCCCGAATGCATTGCAGCAAACTATCAAACATGTTAGAAAATCAATTCTGGATTAGCTACAATCTATTGGAGCGATTGGATAACCTTGGACAATAGTTAATAAATATCAATGTGTGCATGACAATTTCGCAACCCCTAAACACTTTATTCTTATGGCCAATATAGTCTTGTGAGTTAAGTACTACTATGAAATACTTTTGGTCTTCCATGTTCAATCATTACTCTCATATTATATACAGTCAACTTTGAAACTACTATGATAAAATTGATGACAATGGGCTCCATGGCCGTGAGATCCAATCAAGTAAATGAATTGTGTTGTATCTTAGAAACTATTTTGCATTACTCGCGTATCTAGTCAAGTAATCTTGTTGTGTGATTGAAATATTTCATTGTATTTTTTATTCTTGATGTGATACTATTTTACATTCAATATATGTTAAGAGGTTTTAGTATAGTTGCACATGATCTATCGTGGAATGTATTTCTTTCCGTTCACAGTGAATTGTGATACTTCAGATGTAATGAGTGTTGTTAAGCTTTGTAGTCTATTGATGTTGGACAAATATATATTTGTTGAGTAAAATTTAGTTGCTATACAAAACACATTTTTTTTTAACGAATGATTGATTCATTTGACATATAATCATTGTAATGCCGACATTTAAAATTAAGAATCATGTTTTATCTTGTTGAAATCCTTATACCTTCAACTTATTTGTTTTTTTCTCTAGCATTGAAGCTACATCTTTTTGAAATGATGTGTGAAAATTTGATAAAACAAATTATATATGTAATGTATATTGCCTAATTATTCTACATAACGTGATTAAATTGCTATATGTATAGATAGACATTAGTTACTAATAAAATATTTTATTTGTTTATCATCTATTTTGTAGATTATGCTAATTATTACATGTCTCTACTAGTTAAATTTTGAAAGTTCATCACATACATGATCAATGTATATTTTTTTCCTATTTTGTGAAACTTGTTTCTTACAATGAACAATTTTAGTGAGAAACAAATGAAGCATATTACATTATATCGTATTACTTCAATTGCTATGTTGTATCTTCAGTTGATTAACACAAATTTTGTTATATATCTTGATTGATTTATGTTGTTGTATAACGTTATTTTCATTGTGATATTTGTATAGCTTAGATCATGAATACTTGTTTTTTTCTATTTTTATTTCAATACATATCAAAATACTTATATTTAATATAAAATGATGGTAATTTTAACATGAATAATCTACATTTCATAAAAACTATCAAATTTGTTAATATCATGTTCATAAGCAACATAGAGGGTACATAAATTATACATGACTTATGTATGTAATTTTTTAAAATATATGTTTATATAAAAATTAGAATCAAATCTTAACATGTCTAATACAACTGTCACATGCTTGTTTATAAATTTTTATTTATAATTGTCTTATCAATTCAAGCCAAATAGACTTATGTTCATCAAAACTAATAAACATGTTAACATTAAAGTATTTAATATTATATTAGTAAATAAGGAGTTTTATTACAAGATTGATAATTATACCTGACACAAAATCTTCATTTATTGTGCAAATAAATATCATGTATTTCAAAAATCAAAATAATATTATAAAATGTGAATGATCATTATGAATGAGTTTTAAAACAAAATAATTTAAAACTATATCCACATCCACATATAAATTTCAAAAAATACACTCATATCATAAACACAAACATATAAACTCTATTGCATAGATAGATTACTATGTTAAAAATTATAACTTGTTTCAAATTTTAAATTTTGTATCATAAGTAGGTGAGATCATGTTATTATCATAACAAAAAATATATTATATGTGCAGAAAATGATTTAAAAAATTATATGCATTTTGAATACTAATATGATTTTTATTATTAAAAAGCAAACAATTATAACCAGTTAATTGATTGATTAATTAGCATCAAATAAAAAGCACAAAAACCCAACATTTAAAACATATTTATCTATAATAACACATAGTGTACATATAATTTATCTTGTTTGCAACCATTCATTTCAAAAAGTAAATATAGTTGAAATATTGTAAACTTTTATAAAATTTTATTATAGTTATTTTATAACAAATAAAATTGTACATCATTTAATATGATAAAAAAATGTATATTTAATTTCATATAAAAATTATATATTAATATTTTTAATTATATATGGAAATAAAAAAATGATGCATATACACAAGTTCAAAATTATTAATAATTGTATGTAACAATTTTTAGTTAGTGAAAACTCAATTAAATGTTATTGAAAATTAAATTGAATGAATAAAAATGAAATTTTATTTCGTCACGTTAGCAATATATGTGTTAGTTCATATGTTAGTTGGAAACGACACGTCATCAATGTGTGTGATTGTTAGATAAAGATTTACGTCGCTGTCACGTGATTGGCATCCGGCACTCAGTACATGATTATGATATCAGCTCGCTATATTAGACCTAACTCGTCAAATATAGTTAATTCGATGGGCTTTACCACATTGGTTGCATTAAGAGTGAGAAGCAACCGATGTAACAAATGTAATTTTAAGTTTGTAAAAAAAAGCACTATATTCTGTGAATTCTTGTTCATTCTCTATATGCACAGAGGTTTCAACAAAACTTCCGCAACGTAACCTCGAAGCTTTCAATTCCATGTGCTACTCATATAAATCTCCCTCTTCTTTGCTATTCAATAGAGGTTGTCGTAATGAACACTGATGTTTAAAGTCTCATTTTTATTCTTTTATTATAATTCATATTGTTTTGCATGATGTAAAGTATTGATAGAGATGAAAGTGTGATTTTGATGTGCCATTGGCAACAAATGGGTTGCGTATAGATTATGATGAGTAATTAATGCTAAGGCGCGTGACAATTTCCTAGCATGAATAGAGGATTATGGCAAATTACAATCTTTGATTGAAACTTGTTCAACTCATTTAATGCGAATAAGTTCAAAGATCACATGCAGATGTATGTTTCCACATTCTAATTCGTCTTCATCATAATTTTTATAAAATGTATTTCAATTGTTTCTATAGAAAAAATGACAAATTGACACAAACTTTGTGTGAAGATGTGATCAATATTCCACACCTAAACACAACACGAAAGAATGTGAAGATATTCAAAGACAACAAATCTAAATTTCAACATTGGGGTTTAATGAAAATTTCAATATGCTTTTAAACATAAGCTTTTAAGATTAGAAATACCAACAATGTATCTACTTTTATTATATAGCTCTTACCAACAAGTACCTACCATCCAATCCACTCATAATGAATTGATGACATGTCAGATATACCTAAAGAGCACACGGATTGTTGACGTGTTGCTACAAACTACCACATTCAATCTTACCATAAGAAGCACACATATTGATAACGTGTCGTTTTCAACTAACACACTAATTAGCACACGGATCGTTGACATGGCAATGTAGATATCCACTATTATCTACTATACTCAATCTTGAGTAAACTATACTTTGGTTTTAACTAACTAAAGATTGTTACAATGTGAGAGTACAATGAGATGGCGGAGAAATCTAAGTGGATTCGATGAACCTAAAAAACACAGTGTTTCCATACGGAAGTCACAGATACTTTGTAGCACCATGTTTCCTTGTCAACTAAGATACTCTAAACTATTGTTCATTTTCGTGTGGTAAGGGTATAACTAGCCATTCAATGAATCTCGCGGATTCACTATTGATGCCGGTAGTGTGGTTTGATTATGGGTGTACTAATTTGTGTGTTAGTTGGGGGTGACACATAAACAATCTTTGTGCCCATTATGTATTTCTGTCGTGTTATTGTAACACTAGGGTTTAGAGAGAAGTTCACTCGAAGATAGAAACGTAAACTCTGAAAATGAGAGATATCAACAATGGTTCTCCTCTCCCTTATATAGCTCTCACCAACAAGTACAAGGTGATAAGATCTAATCCCCACCATCCATCCCACTCCTAGTGGATGGATGACGTGGCGGATAACCCTAACAAGCACACGGATCGCTGACGTGGCGCACCCAACTAACACACTAACTAACACACTCAATCCTTACCTGAGCATAAATGAATATTCATGCTCATAATCCATCCCTCTAACACTCCCATTGCTCTACTCCCTTTGTAAGCTTCCATCTTACAGGATTTTCCCATTCG